GTCTCCAGTGGAGTCAAAATCTTACTACGAACTTCCGTGACTCATATATATGTATATATAATATATATATAGAGGTTCCGTGTCTCACAGATTATTTATTTACAAATAATGAATGATGGTAAAGAATGAATGAAAAGGATGAATAAAAGGAATTGATAAAATTGAATTGAAAAAAGAATGATATTAAGGATAAATAAAGAGAATGAATACAAATAATGAATAAAAGAATAAATTTAAAAGAATTAATATAAAAAAATAAAAGCTGATGAATAAACAAATGATAAAACTAGAAATTATAACAAGAATGATTGTTAATAGTCTAAGAAAAAGAAAAATAGAATTGTTTTTGTAATTGATGGAAAAAAATAAGAAATTACAAATATAAAAATAAAGATAAAAATTATATTGAAAATTGTAAAATTAAAAACGAAATTGAATATTATTAGGGGGGCTTAGATTACTAATTACCATAATCATTTGCCCGAATTATAAGTTTGAAACCAGAAAATGATAAAATGGTTTCTAGAAGAGACCGTATGGTTTCGCCGGCTACTACTCGCAGATCATAAGACCTAAGACATTAGAACAGGAAACTTAAAACAAAACATGCATCGAAACCAAGGTTTTGAATTTAAAATGATGTGAAAAACTTATTGAAAGTTTTGTTTGCTTTACCATATTTTCTTGAGCAATTTTATCATAAGAGGACATTAGGATTGGAAATTGAAAACAAAATATGCATCGAAACCAAGGTTTTGAGTTTAAAATTAAGTCAAAAACTTATGAATAGTTCGGTTTGCAAAACCATATTTATTTGAGGCATTTCATTAACAAAGTAATGAGTTAGAAACTTTTGAAGTCAAGAAATGACTTAAGCTTAATCATGTTCTTGTGGAAGATTAACCGAATTGTTATTGGTCAAAACTTAGAAGATTGACTGCCGAGAAATTAGTTAATCTCCCCCTGAAGATTCAATGAGTTTAAACCATTCCTCCCGTACTTATAAGTTTCCAACCCTGGTTTCAAATTTCCGGTAATTAATCCGTATATTCTTAAGCTTTTGGTTTAAAGGAGAGCTTTTCCTTCTTTATGTTTCAAAATATTGATTCTCTCCCTTCAATTCATTTTTGACTTCAAACAGAATTTTCTATATTATTTTTATATTTCAGGTTACAGTTCTAATTTGAGTACAGTTCATCGTTTTTATTCTTAAATTTAGGCAAAACAACATTTTTATCATTTAAAACTTTGAATTAACTGCAAACTTGATTTTGCGGGATCCTCAGTTAATTGTTAGTTAATTGTATTGTCCGATTCAGGACGATACCCTTTAAATCTTTGTTTCGAGTTATTCCTCTTTTTCAACCATAAAATTGATTTTTTCAAATGCAGTTCTTCTTTGATACTTAAAGTTTAATTGAGGTGAATCGAACAAAATGGTTGTCCCTTGAAATTAGTTCCACAGTTAGATCCTTTCAACAGAAATAAGATATTTTTAACAATGTGGTTTCTGTAGATTTTGTTTATTCCTTCTTAGCAATCTTTTCTTATTCTTCTTCTTCAACACCAACAACAAGTTCACCAGACCTTAGTTTATCCACGAGGTACATTTTATAGTATTTTAATATTCATGCCTTTAAAGTGATATTTTACCTTTATAGTAATTAAATGTTCTTCAAGGAATTCAGTCAACATAACTTTAAAGTGATATTTTGTCTTTAATCGTATTTTAATGTTTTAACATAACTTTAAAGTGATATTTTGTCTTTAATAGTATTTTAATGTTTTTAATACAACTTTAAAGTGAATATTTTATCTTTGATAGTATTTTAATGTTTTTAACCTAACTTTAAAGTGATATTTTATCTTTTATATTTTATCTTTTCAAAATTTTTTATTGTTAAAGTTTCGAATTTTTCTTTTAGAAAGGAGCCTCCCCCACCACTGGGCCTGAGCTTGTATATTAATCCCACCCTCCCCCTCTATTAGTTGCATCTCCCCCTCCTGTCCTACCCTCTATAGTTGCACCCCCCCCCCATAACTCTGCATGTAAACACCTGCAGTATGCTGCAGGACTGAGTTTTCTCCAAATCCATTTATTTTTGCAAAAACATACTTAAAATCATCTTTTCATCTTATTTTATCCCATATTATATTTTCTTATTTTGTTTTTAGATATAAATTCATCAATTCATCCTAATATATATTCATCTTTTTTTCTTTAGATATAAATTCATCAATTCATCCACATATATATTCATCTTTTTCTCTTTAGATATAAATTCATCAATTCATCAAAATATATATTCATCTTTTTCTCTTTGGATATAAATTCATCAATTCATCCAAATATATATTAATCTTTTTCTCTATAGATATAAATTCATCAATTCATCCAAATATATATTCATCTTTTTCTCTTTAGATATAAGTTCATCAATTCATCCAAATATATATTCATCTTTTTCTCTATAGATATAAATTAATCAATTCATCTAAATATTTATATATTCATCTTTTTCTCTTTAGATATAAATTCATCAATTCATCCAAGTATATATATATTCATCTTTTTCTCTTCAGATATAAATTCATCATTTCATCCAAATATATATTCATCTTTTTCTCTTTAGATATAAATTCATCAATTCATCCAAATATATATTTATTCATCTTTTTCTCTTTAGATATAAATTCATCAATTCATCCAAATATACAGGGTGTCCCACATCATATTAGACCGAAAACGGGTCTAAATTAAGATTTTCGGGACTAATTAGAAAATTTTATTAGAATGAATCATTTTGAAAAATAACATAAGGCTTATATAAGAATTTTCTTGCGGAAAATGATAAGTTTTTCGAGTATTAAGGGTTTATTTTGGTGTTAAAGATTGGAGATAATCTAATATGATATGGGACGCTCTGTATATTCATCTTTTTCTCTTTTCTCTATTCATTTTCAACATTATATTTTCTATCTACATTTGTTTATTTATTTAATATCTTATTTTCGTATCATATTATATCTTACTATTTACGTATTTCATTATACCTTATGTATTTACGTATCTTATCATATCTTATTTTCTACGTATTGTGGAAGAGATGCCTGGCCGCGTTAAACTAGTTCCACAAGATTCAACAGAATGAGATAGAACGGATACGGGGCATTAGTACTGATATGATCTCTACAGTCTACACGTGCGATATCGATATTGACTCTAGTTCTGAACCCTCTAGTAATAAGTTATAAGAAATATATATACTGGAAGTTATTTATGCGTTTTATTAGAGTCTGACTCACGTCCTCTATAGTATCTTATTATGTTTTACTATTCATGTAACTTATTACAGCTTATTATGTCTATCTATTTAACTGAAAACTATAAATATCTTTCTATTAACTCTAAATGTATCTATTTATATTTCTCGTTATATCTCTATTTATATATCTATTTATTTATCTGTCAATTTAATATTGGTAATATGCATGAAAGTTAATGTGTAGAGTGTTATATTGTATGATATGTATAGTGTGTGTTTACACTTAAAATCAATGTATTGATTTAGAACATGCAGATTTGTTAGGAACGACACTCTGTGGTTTTATGAAGACTGTAGACTGTATACTGTAGACTGTAGACTGTAGACTGTAGACTGTAGACTGTAGAATGTAGACTGTAGACTGTAGACTGTAGACTGTAGACTGTAGACTGTAGACTGATCCAATAATATTCCCCATGGTTGTTTATTAGTTCACTCAATGACGTCAGCTCTCAATAAACATTACAATAAATAAGTTCAAAAAACAGAATATTCAGGTTTTGCTCACATTTTAAAGGGACTGTTAATCTAATTCCGAGTGATCCTTCATTTGTTGATTGGCATGTAATATCCAGAATTTGGTTGATATTTGGCTGATAAAGATAACCTTGCCTTTCTTTCCTTTCTTGCCTTTCTTGCCTGTGCGTGTGTAAACTTATCGAAACCGGCGGTATGTTGAGTTCATTGTCAGACCGTACGAAGTGCACACATGAATTTCCAGCTGAATGCAAGCGGGTTTCGATAAGTTAATACACACATATATCTGTACTACACGAACAAACAAAGGGTTTCAGGGTACCGTAATAATTCGGGCAATGCCCTCTTTGTATGGAGGATCACTTGAACTTACGGATAAACACGTCCTTTAATTAGAAATAAACAAAATGAACAATGAATTTCTTTTCTAATTTTCTTATTTTATTAGATGATGCAGTCAGGACTAGACTTAGGGGTGCAACCCGGTGCAGGAGTAGTTCCGGTAAGCTTTTAGAAAAATTAGATTTCCTGTTTTTTTAAATAAAAATATTTAGATTTTTACTACAAAAATTCTTTGTTTATAAAGCGATTTTTGTATTTACTTTGTAAAAATGCTTCCTTTACTTATTGAACATTTTTATATTTTACCTAGTTTGAAGACTACTTATATATTGTATTTTCTCATGAATGTACATACGTCATCGTATATATCAATACAATGAAGACCTTCCGCATAGCATTTTTTCTATCCTGTTTTCAAACGGTGGATACACATAAACACGGAAGCAAAAGGGACGCTGTGAATTAACAATTCTTCTCTTTGTTTATTTGTAAAATTGTAATTTGAAAAAAAATCTCGCTAGAAATTAAAATTTAAATAGCGAAGTAGTCTTCATTGTACTGATGTAAACGCCTACCATTGTACAGTGTATTTGAATAAAGGAGGCAGAAACAATGACTAATTGATTAAATCAATTGACTAATTAACTATCGATAAGGATATGGATGAAGGGGATCGGAAAACCAACCTAATTGTAAACTATCTTCCTCAGACTATGACACAAGTGGTAAGTTTTTTTTAGCCAATTATTTTTGAAGATATGATTAGGCACATATGTTACATTGTTGCAATACAAGAATAAAAAGTTTTAAGATTAACGGAAATTTCCGAACAATAAGCATCTAAGAATCAAATACAATTGATTATAGCTTTAATATCGTCTTCCTATTCCACAGTTTTCTGGTCCTCACTGTAATATATGTTGTTTGCAGGAGGAAATACGGTCTCTGTTCTCTAGTATTGGAGAGGTAGAAAGTTGTAAACTTATCCGGGATAAGGTTACAGGTGGGTAGACTTGGTAGATTTGGTAGACTTGGTAGACTTGGTAGACTTGGTAGACTTGGTAGACTTAATAGACTTGGTAGACTTGGTAGACTTGGTAGATTTGGTAAACTTGGTAGATTTGGTAGACTTGGTAGACTTGGTAAACTTGGTAGACTTGGTAGACTTGGTAGACTTGGTAGACTTGGTAGACTTGGTAGACTTAGTAGATTTGGTAGATAAAGACTTGGTAGATTTGGTAGACTTGGTAGACTTGGTAGACTGTAGACTTGGTAGATTTGGTAGACTTGGTAGATTTGGTAGACTGGGTAAACTTGGTAGACTTGGTAGACTTAGTAGATTTGGTAGACTTGGTAGACTTGGAAAACTTGGTAGACTTCGTAGACTTCGTAGACAGGGTTGACAGAATCAATAAAAATGTTGAATTATTTCAGGTCAAAGCCTAGGCTACGGTTTTGTAAACTACCATCGTCAGGAAGATGCCACGAAAGCAATACAAACCTTAAATGGTCTTCGACTACAGAATAAGACGATTAAGGTTTGAAGAAATCACATTGTTTATTCATTGTCTATTAAAAATAATATTAAAAATTGTGATCTAACAAGAGAGGGGAAATTTGTTAAAAGTTTCCCAACGATTCAACCATAGATTAAAAACAATTCAGATAGAACCAGAGACAAGATAGAGAAAGAAAGCATGCGCATAACTCCTTTGGGCTTCTGCCTCAGGGTTATTGGGAGCGAAAAACCCCTAAATCTTGAAAAGCCGACATCTAGTGTTCTATCTGTATTGTTATTAATCTATGGATTCAACAATCATGTTTCTAGCTTATAGTCTTTAAAATCGTCTTTGATACTTACTTTATGAAATTGTACACGCCAAAAAATTGGAATATGGAAATAAGTACCAAGTATAAAATACAGGTTTCCATGAGTTATACGAATATGTACCATCCTAAAATTATTAAAAATTTGTTACTTGTGACGTCTAGGGCTGGGCACATTTCCTACTTTTTTGAAATCCTTCCGGGCCTTCAGCTATAAGATCATTCTAACCCCGTTCCTTCTTTTTCCAATTGTTCCATCCACGTCCCAGTCCGTTCCGTTTTTTGGTGTTCTTAGTCGAGAACGGTTCCATCCTCGTTCCGTTCTACATACTCAAATATTTATAGTATCTGAGGATAAGAGAATACAGGGGCGTACGAGGGGGTGGGGGGTTCATTTAATGATTCTTCCAAAGATTTTGTTGAAAAAACCCCTAGAATTCTTGATTTTAGAGGTAGTATTTTTAAAACTTTTATTATCTTTTATTAAAGATCATTTTCTAAATTTCTTTTTTCATTTCTTCACAAACCTACAAAGCAGTATAATTAATATAGAATTAATTAAAAGGTTTAAAGTGACTGTAGACATAATTTCTCTTATGATTCACAACAATACCCTTCAAAGCTTTGTCTGATCAAGTATTGCATTAAATATTTATGCTACCCATTTTGAAAACTGATTATTTTCATTTGTGGCTTCTCTACATAAGTGACTCGAGCATTTCTTGCTTCAGAAACGATGGAAAAAAGAAGGTTCATAAAAAAATACTTTAAAATCTCACTTTTGCCCTTAACTAATAAAGGTTCATTAAAAAAGATTTAATCAATACTGCTTTCAAGGTAAATATAAATTTGATATCATTATTTATAAATACTTTTAAAATATATTTTTTTTAATGAAAAGTTTCCATCTCTATTTTTCACCCCTTGAAGCTAACACCAAAGTATAAGAGGGAGATGCCTGATGAGTCCACATATGAGAATTACATAAATAATTTATTAACATTTGTAATATGGAAGTGTGTAATGATCAAATAGTTAACCTTAAAAAAGGTATTGATATTTTTTCAAAAAAGGGGTTTCCAAAGGGGGCACCATAAATTTTCCTGATTTAACATGTGATTGACCCCCTAAGAATTCGTTCCTGATAATAAGAATGCGTTCCTGATTTTAACCTTCTTTTCAAGCAATATCCATTTGTTCCACGTTAGTTCTTTTAATAATTGTTCCAATATTTTTTAGAGCGCGTTCTATGTGTTTGTTTAATTTTTTGGAACAATGGGATCGTTCTTGATAACTCCGTTCTTTTTTGTGAAAGAACAATCATTCCCCAATAACAACGCCCAGCCCCAGTGACATCAGAATACAGCTGTACTCAGATATACAAATTCTACATTGCCATCTAATGTTCTAGAGTCTATTTGATTTTTATAGTTACATTAGTTATGTACCAACCTAAATAGGTTTTATTTAAAGGTTTCATATGCTCGACCAAGTAGTGAGGCTATCAAAGGTGCAAACCTGTACGTATCTGGACTACCTAAGCACATGGCTCAGCCAGGTAGGAATTTTTAATGAGAAAGTACTGGCGGACATTTTGAATTTGGTTATTGCTTATCTTTGTTTCAAAGTACTTCACAGAAATCATTTTCAGAATGCATTTCAATCAATCAATGAAAAGAATAAGAGTTTAATTTTCTAATCTCAAAGACCAAAAAACAAATGGAGGAAATCTTTATCACAAACCAGTATTTTTTATTCAAATTTATGCGACATATGCTCACTTGCACCATTACCAAAATAACTACCCCTTTAAAAAACGTTTGGCGGCTGTTTTTAATTTTGTATGTTTCAGCTGATCTGGAGAGGTTATTTTCTTCCTGTGGAAATATCATTACCAGTCGGATCCTCTGTGACAACATTACAGGCACGTACATAATTTGGACGCAGAGGTGTACATAGTTTGAATGCAGTATTGTACATAATTTTGTTGCAGCTGTGTACATAATTTGGATGCAGTATTGTACACTCGTACAGTGAATCCCAGATATATGAATACATAGCAAGAGTTTTTTATAATGTTGTATTACATATTTAAGATCAAATGCCGTGGAAAAATGAGTTCATAATCTATATGAATGCAATTGATATATTAATATCAAACTCATTTTTCCACAGCATTTGATCTGAAAGATGTAATACCACTTTATTAAAAACTCTTGCTATGTATTCATATATCTGGGATTCACTGTACAATATTTGAATGCAGTATTGTACATATTTTTGATGCAGTATTTATTGTATATAATTTAGATGCAGTATTGTACATTATTTGGATGCAATATTGTACATAATTTGGATGCAGTTTTGTACCTCATTTGGACTATTAATAATGGTTAAAAATGTTATAGTAATTCAGGTTTATTTGTGACACAATCCGATACAAATTATTTAAATAAGTAAATTTTAAAAAATTTTAAATTTATGTTCTTATTCAATCTTATCTAGGGCTGTCCAAAGGTGTTGGATTCATTCGTTTTGATCAGAGGGTAGAGGCTGAACGTGCAATTCAGGTAAAATACGGGGAGGTTTTTTTTACGTATTGTGGTTAGCTGGGTAATTCCTATAAAACTTTCACACTAACTAGCTAAATCAAGATTTTAGACTGACAACAATTAGAGATGGGCAATGGGCATCGTCTTTGTGAACGAACAACATTTTTCTTAAATAATGGTATCGTTCGGAAAAAGACAACGATGGACAAACATGAAACATCTTGGATTGTTAAGAAAAATGAAAAATAAAGGATAAATAATTTAAAATCGTTTTAAAGATCTTGAATATGAAAATGAAAGTTAAAGGCGCCCATCTCTAACAAGAATCAGAAATATTTTTGCTAATTATCAATTTGGCTAGAAGTTAAACGGAACCGTACCCGAGGGAGCTACTGAACCCATTACTGTTAAGTTTGCAAATAACCCTAGCAACAACGCAAAGGTAAATGAGGTAAATGCTTTTTTTATTTATTTATAACATTATAGTTTATTTATAGAGAGGATAATTATGTTTGCGGATTTTCGTGTTCTCTTTTGGTGATAGATTTTCTAATCATAGCTTTTATTTTCTATTTTTATAACAATTTCTTTCCGTGTTTTTCATTTCCTTTGGTTCGTATTTGCACAATTTTCTTTGAGAACTTTAATGCTTTAGGATTTCTCGATAAACCAATTGTTTTGTCAGGCTCTCCCTCCCCTTGCCGCATATCTTGCACCCCAGGCCGCCAGGCGTGCACTGGGGGCCGCGCTCCATCCTGCCAGCAGGTTCAGGTACTACACGCGGAGCTTTCTCATAGCTTTTAACTCCATCTTACGGAGACTTTAGAACTTCTCTTGAGATTCGCAAAGCTGAGAATTTCAAACATTTTCTAATTTTTCTAATTTTTCTAATTTTTCTATGTAGTTATATTTTTTTTCTTTCTTTGTTTAAACTAATTTTTATTAATGTTATTGATTTATTAATTTGGCTTGTTAGTTCGTCCTTTTTCAGAACAAAATTTTATCATAATTTTACTAATTTATAAGTATTTTTGCTTGAATTGTGACGCTTTTGTTATTTTTTTATTAATTAAATTATGACATAAATAATTTAATTAATTTAATGCACATTGTTTATTTTTTTTTATCTCAGCCCTTATGGTTTACCGGGTGGTTTGCCCCTAGAACTAAGCCTTAAAGAAGGGTAAGTTTTTTTTATTTTAATAATTTTAATTTGGTTTTTATTGTAACCATTTAGTTTTTGTTTTCATTTGAAACATCAGAGTAAAATTCTTATTTTATGTCGTATTTTTGCCATTATTTTATTTTCGTATTGGTGAAACTTAATTTTATTTCATTTTGAATATAATTTTAATTTATTTTGACTTATTTTTAAGTCCTGGAAAGGCTGTTTTTGCAACGAAGACTGTCCCAAGGCAAGTAAATGGGAATGGGAGAGGAATTTAAAATAATTATGAGAAATTATTTTTATTTTTATTTATGGGGAAAGGATCAAGTTTTTTAAGTAAATAGAAAAATTTCTGGGAAATTTTCTTCAAATTTTTCCAAAAAAAAAATTTAGCTGTAGAGTTTTATTTGTTTAACCTTTGTTTATTTTTAAGTTAAAATATAGAGAGCATGGTTTGATTTATGACTAGAATATTATTTTTATTTCACGTAGATATTTGTTATTACTTTTTTTTAATATTGCATGACTACTTCTTGCATTCAGAATAATGATAAATCCACACTTTCAATAATTTCACTTTTTCTGTTGCAGAACTGCAAATTTTGTACTTTTCTCACCCTAAAAAAGTAAAATGCTGCTTTTAATATAATTTAGATAAAAGTGAATTTCAAGGGACTGTGAGTGTAATTTCAAGGGACCCTTTATGCAAAGATGGCAATGCACGATTTACAACGGTACCCATAAAGCTTTGTCTGATCAAGTATGAATTATTTATCAATGTTTTTGTGCATTTCTTGTTTATAAGAAGCATTGGAGAAACTCACAAAAAAAGAAACTTTTCGTGTCAGAAAACAACAGCATCTTCCAGATTTTTGGCCAGATAAAGGTTTCAAGGGTACCGTTTCCCTGGGGGGTCACTTGAAATTATGCTTACAGTCCCTACAAAAAAAATATGAGATTATTCTCCTAATTTTGGAATAAATACAGGTTAAAGTTGAACATAAATAGTTGAACATATAGCTGGTATATTGATGAACCATCTAGAGCCACTAGCTAGTAGTTATGATCTTATGAACTTATGGCTATTATTATATTATGATCTTAAGGCTATTATAGTTAGAAGCCATGCTCTAATTGCTTGTTGATAATATCGTGTCTTAGATAGTTATGTGAATAACGCGTGGTCATAGTGCTATTTCACAAAGATGATTAGATGGCATGATAGTTGATGTTTATTTTTTGGCTTTAATGCTATACAGCCTTACTGTATGGCTTTAAAAGTTAAATAACCACAAGAATTTATCAAAGAATTTGTTGTTCATAAAGATCAAATTGTTCATCAAAAGATTGTTGTTAGTAAGGATCTTATTGTTTATGAAGTTTTAGTTCCTCATTCAAAGTCAGTATTACATTACATTACATTCACATAACTTTCATTAAGAGATATGCGTTCATTAAGAGCTAACCTTCAGATGAAGCTAGTTGTTCATTAAGAGCTAACGTCCATTAAGAGCTAACGTTCATTAAGAGCTAACGTTCATTAAGAGCTAACGTCCATTAAGAGCTAACGTTCATTAAGAGCTAAAGTTCATTAAGCGCTAACTTTCATTAAGCGCTAACGTTCATTAAGAGCTAACATTCATTAAGAGCTAACATTCATTAAGAGCTAAAGTTCATTAAGAGCTAACATTCCTGAAGAGCTAAAATTCATTAAGAGCTAACGTTCATTAAGAGCTACCATTCATTAAGAGCTAACGTTCATTAAGATCTAACATTCATTTGAGAGCTAACGTCTATTAAGAGCTAACGTTCATTAAGAGCTAACATTAATTAAGATCTAACATTCATTTAGAGCTAACGTTCATTAAGAGCTAACGTTCATTAAGAGCTAACATTAGTTAAGATCTAACATTCATTTAGAGCTAACGTTCATTAAGCGATAACTTTCATTAAGAGCTACCATTCATTAAGAGCTAACGTTCATTAAGCGCTAACTTTCATTAAGAGCTACCATTCATTAAGAGCTAACATTCATTTGGAGCTAACGTTTATTTAGTGCTAAACTTCATTAAAAGCAAACAATCCTGCAGAGCTAACGTTCCTGAAGAGTTAATATTCATTAAAAGCAAACATTCATTAAGAGCTAACTGCTAATTGTTCGCATAGGAGCTAGTTGTTAATACAGAGCTAGTATTGCATACAAAGCAAGTTGTTCATAAAGAGCTAGTTGTTCATTTAGAGCTAGTAAAACATACAAAGCTTTTGTTCATTAAAAGCTAACTTTAATAAAAAGCTAGTTGTTCATTAAGAGCTATAGTTCATAAAAAGTTAAGGTTAATAAAGAGTAAATTGTTAAACAATAGCTAGTTGTTCATGAAGAGTTGTACTAAAAAAAGAATAAAAAGCTATTATTGCATACAGAGCTAGTTGTTTTCATGTTCAGCTGCATAATCATTAATCTTCAAGCATTATGAAAATATAGCAAAATCTTTATAGAATATTATGACTATTTAAATATTGAGCAGTGAGCAGTGAGCATGGCTATTGACTAAAATGCTTACAAAGAAAATTAATGTCAGCCATAATTTTAAATTTGTTAAAACTTTAGTTAATCATATTAAAAATTATTTATTGGACTAGAAAAAGAAAGAAAATTAAAAATTTAAATAATGTTTGAATAAAAAAGGAGGAATTACTTACTCAAGCTGGAAAATTTATCAAACTTTTTTTTCAAAATAATTAAATGTTTAACATTCTAATTAAATAATTAAATAATTAAATAATTAAATGTTTAACATTCTAATTTGCAAAGATAAATATAAGGGACTGTAAGCATAATTTGAAGGGATCCTGCATATGAAGATGACAATGCCCGATTCACAACGGTACCCTTGAAACGTTTATCTGATCAATAATTTCAAGGTACCCTGCAGTATATAAAGATGGCATTTCTAGATTCACAACCGTACCCTTAAAAACGTTTATCTGATCAATAATTTGAAAGAAATTGTCATTTCTCTATGCTTAAGGTGTTTAAATATGCAGATTGCAGCTAAAGAAATGCGAAAAAATGAGAAAATTTTTGCGAAACGATTTTTCCTTTTCGTTTAAAAAATTATAAAAATTATAAAAATAGACCAATTGTTTTAAGGGTACCTTGCCTTGCCCTTTTCGCATAGAGGGTCACTTGAATTTATGCTTACAGTCCCTTTAAGTCAACTTAATATTTGAATGATCAAAGATCAATTTGTGACGATATTAAGTAGGAAAAATGAAAAGAAAATAATTTTTCTATTTTTTAGATATTCTCCACTAGCTGGCGAACTTCTTGCTGGGAACTCATTGCTGCCAGGTAGATATATATAGGTCTATTATCTATGACTGCATCTAACGAATGGGGCTGTTATCTATGAATACATTTGACGAATCGGGCTGCAAAATATTCTGTGTTCTTTGACTGCATTTATCGAATTGTTTTGTTATCTATGACAGCATATATGACTGCATCTTTCCAATCTATATATCTAACGAATCGGGCTTTTATTTTTGACAGCATCCTACAAATTGGGCTGTTTATTCTTCCTCCATTTAACGAACCGAGCTGTTATATATTTGTATTTCTGAATAATATGGCTGTTGTCTTTGATTTCCTCCTGCGAATCGGGCTGTTTTCTCCAACTGCACCTAACGAATCGAGCTCTTTAATATGACTGCATCTAACGAACCGAGCTGTTATTCATGACTACATCAAACGAATCGGACTGTTATATATGAATAAATATCTAGGTATGACTGCATCTAATGGATCGGGCTGGTGTATATTTGTTTACAATCTGGCTCCGGAAACTGAAGAGAATATTCTCTGGCAGCTGTTTGGACCCTTTGGAGCTGTACAGAATGTCAAGGTTAGACATTGATACAGGGGTTACTGTTCTTCTGTCCCAAAAAGATTTCCAAAACGAAATAGATTTTTCTGGGATTTTTTTTCTCGTTTTCTTTCCATTTTAAAAAATGTTCAATTTTATTCTCAACTATTAATATATCTTAAAAGGAAATCAAATTAATGAATTATAAATAATTGTGATATATGTGCTAATTTTATTTTTGTTAAGTTATTTAACTTTTCCATCCAACTTTTTCCTTATCAAAATCTTGAAGAAAAGTTTTAATTAAAAATCACAGTTTTTCGTGTTACAGGTTATTCGTGACCTGCAGACCAACAAGTGCAAAGGGTTTGGGTTCGTCACAATGACGAACTACGAGGAAGCTCTTGTAGCAATCCAGTCCTTGAACGGATACACCCTTGGTAACAGGGTTCTACAGGTAGAACAGACAAACATTAATCAGCCGATAAAATAAGCTAAGATAGGCAAAATCAAAATGGCCGCCAAACATTACAGATTGTTCAGATATTCAACATGCATGTATTTCAGACTATTCTTAACCAAAATTATGGCGAAACATTTAGTAATCTAAAGGGTCCTAAAATGATTTAAATTTTAAGAATGGCATTTTAATAATAAATAGGAGATTTAAAGGAATTAAATGTAATTTAAAGGGTTTGGCAGGTAGTTCTAAATATATGGAAAGAAATTTAAATGGACTAAAAGGAATATAAAGGGGTTTATTGGGATTTTTAAGGGAATTAAAGTGATTACAAATAATAAAAGGGGTTTTTGGCATCATTTCAATTGACTACTTATTAATGGAATTCCATCAATGATTATTATATTATATGTATTCATTATCCAAACATCCTTGACAAAAAACCTCTTTTTACATTTCTAGAAAGCCACGTGGCTATTTCCATTACACAGTAAAACAAGTGATATATTATTGGCATCAATAAAGTGATTAATTGAATGATTGGTTTTTCAGGTTTCCTTTAAGACCAACAACAGGAAAGCATAGACTGTATGGAGCCTGGAATATAAATTTAGAAGATCAACTTAAGTCATGAAACCGAGATCAACTCAAGTCATGAAACCAAGTCTAGTCAGAAGCGGTCGAATTCCGCGCTCACCCTTATGTTTTTCTCTTTCTCTCTTTCTCTCTCACTCTTACTGTATTTTTGTGAATTTCCCCGTTATTTAATGTTAAAACAGTTTTAATGCGGATTTTACGCAAACAAAGATGACCTTCAGTCCGTTGATTGATTGATTGTTGGAGTTTTTAATCCGCTACACTTGATCTCTACGTTATTATTGTCGTTTAATTGTGATGAGACATTTTAAATAGAATTTAAATATTTTCAAGTATTTGTCTCATCACGGTATTTAATTATAGAATATTAGAATCTATGTTTATCTAGTCACGGCTCTGAAAGCGGCAACTTTTAAGGTTTAAAAACGAATATATATATTCCTAAATACAAAATTTCACAACTAAAATACTTTGAAATTTGTAAACATGACGAAAAACAGGTTCCTATATTGTGTACAACGTTGTACACCGCATTTAAGTTGCCGCACATTCTTAGCCCAGTCTGGGTTCCTTAAATACTCAATTTATCACATAATTATAAATATTAATCTTAGAATTAATTTGATCGGGAGACATTTGTGAGCTCCCCATTTTTCTTATTTCTTGTATCACTTGCGTGTTATATTTAAATTTGCCTAGTTTTCTTGCTTTTAGGAATTAGATCAGCTTTAAAGGTTCAAAATCATTCCAAAATGGCGGACAGGAGAATCGGTTTTCCTGCCAGCAAGCTAACCACACAAACCCTCCGACCCGTTTCCCTGTTTACACTTGTAATTACGCGGGAAATTGGTTGGAAGATTTGTGATTCAAGTTTGGGATAAACGCCATATCTTCCAGTGTTTGAGGATTTCAAGCACAATCACTGCTGTGATGTGACCAGATCAAAATATTGGAAATTCTCCTTTTTTTGGGAGATTTTAATCATTTTGATCTCATAGTGCTGTAGATCTTAGATGAGTCCGTTTTAGAGTTTCCAAAGGATCATATAGAAGACGGACTCAAGTGTCTATGACACTGTGTTTTAATATCGTAAAGGCCAAATCTCTACCTAGCAACTGCAGGTCGAATAAATGTAAAAAAAACCTAACTTTGTGAAGAATTTAGATCGGAAAGCGGCGTGGGGAGAATTAAGCACAAATATATAGAATATCAGAGAAATCATATTACAATTTTTTTCTGTTCTTTTTAAAAAACGTTTCCTTGTGAAACACTGAACCTACCGTCTTCTCCCGCTTCTCCGATCTACTTTCTGAGTTCTATTTTTGTACCAGAACACAGCAATGAAACTCGAACATGATAAAAAGAAAGGAATTCCTGACATTCAAATCTTTCATTTAAAAAAAAGATTATTTAAATCATCGAAAATGCCGAAAATATATGTTTAGCATATTCTTTCAAAAATCTATGCACATGTACATATAAAAAGTATAAAAAACTGGACAGCGTGATATATCTAGTTAAACTAGAGTCTCTAGCTGTATGTACGGTACATGAAAAGTTGAATTGAAAGATTTGAACGGCGGGGAGTTCTACAGAAAATTGGATTTAAGTACTCTTGCATCTTGTGCAGTGATTTGGTTTTTTATTCGTCAGTTAAGCTTATAACCACAGTCTTATATTTGAGTTCTAAAAAATAAGATTTCCTAATTGACATATTTCAGTTCTCAAATGTCTAAGCTGTGCCCCCTTTTTAGACACACATGTTGACTTTAGATGGATGTATTATCTAAGACTTTTCACAGTTTTCACAGTAAAAATTAAAACTGCTTATAGTTCGATGGTGTTCACATCAAGCACTATTAAACCAAACCAAACAATTCATTTTGGCGCCAAAACAGTGTACACCGAATATTTAGCAAAAACGCCGACTTAATTAATAAAATTCAATATGGCAGAATTTAAGGCTTAGATGTGAACCCGATCCTTTTGATTTTACGTATTTATTCTTTCTCTTCAATTCGTTTTAATATTGTTTAAAATTCCAAGAAAACAAAATAAAAATTGCAAAAGTTTTTTAGTTATTCAAGAAGATAGTTTTGGCTAGAGAAAATCAGATCCGTTTCGTTATTCAGACAATTTAAACTTTCGATTTTTTTTCCTTCATAAAATATAGAATTTTTAAATTTGAAACTGAACTTTATTAAAAAAGTATCTGAAATATTTCCAGCCGGAAAAAGACAAAGTATTTGGGAGTAAAGAAATTAAAAAATTATTGGTCAACCTTAAGAATAAGAAGTGTAATTTTGGTTTGCAATGTTATAGAGTTTTTGGACAGACATTTTCTATTTTTCGAGAAGGTTTCAAAGCCTTTTCAGATTTAATTTTTAAATATAATCTAAAAAGGCGAGAACCTTCGAGATATAGAGAAAATTAAAGTCCAAAAACTTTATAGCACGTTGTGCCAAAATAAGTGTTATAGGTAATATTATTTAATGTTTGTGTACTTGGCTTATTTCAATCGCTATTTCTAAATCGAATAAGCTTTGAAACAAAGCAGAAGTCAGAATATAAAGTTGATTTCAATTTTATTTTCATTTCAATAAAAAAATTATTTTGGAAGAAAATCTGGGAACCAATCAAAACTTTAAAGCACACGTGCTAATGTACAGCTAATTTAACTTTATAGCACGTTCATTATGAAATTCACGATGAAGTAAGGAAGAATGTTAAAGTACACAATAGTTTCATAAAATCTAAAGTAGTATAGAGGTAGGGGGAAGAAAAAATAAAAGATTTAAAATTCAGTGATGGTGATGGACCAAACCTCTGTAGAGTAAAAAAGTAGTTCCACATTTATTGAAAATATATTTCGGTCTGGGTTGACCCTCGTCAGTTCTAACGATAAAATAACCATTAAAATCGTTAAAAAAAATTAAAAAATGTAAAAATCACATGAAGATAAACAAACAAAAAGATTATTCAAAATAAAAATTTGGGCTGTCAAATGGACATAAGGGAAAAGAACTCAGATTATGAGATGGAAAAAAGATAATTTGCAAATATTCACTTTCTAAAAAAATATATTAAGACAATTATTATTCCTGAGATTGTTTCTTCACAAAGATTAAAAACAAACTGTGTAGATGTGTGAATATTGAGTTGGGGTGGGGGTCGATCTAATTAACGAACTTTTCCGTGAGTCGGGGGAGGGGGAGGGGGGGGGACGGCTTGTTTAAGGAGGGGTATTTAAACCTTTTAAAGAATTGGACATAAA